TTCATCCCTATTTCTGTTTCATTAAAAGGTACTAACTGTGCTGATAAGAAGGTAATGGCCTATGCGTATCTTCTATCGATTCATTGGTATGAGAATATTCGGCCACTATATGGCTAGACGCTCTGAACTCATAAACTATAATAGCTTTTTACCCAAGTAGTCTTCCATTTGCTCCTATTTCTCTTCTTGCTTGTCTCTCCTCTTTCATATATAAAGCCGTGCTCTATATGATTTACCTAGAGTTAAATGACGGCGTAGCATAATAAGCATCATATACTGAGAACAGAGGTAACTCTACTTCTTCACTTTCTCATTTTTCATCAGCTGTAAAGTATACATCGCGATAATAAGGGAGTAATCTATCCATCTTTTGTTACACAGACGAAAACTCTTTTAGTGAAACGATAAAGCGTTTCCTTCACTCTCGAATACTATATAGTTTATTTTTGTTACTCATTTGTAAATGAAACAATGGAACAGAAAAGGAATGCTCTTGAAAAGAATGGGCGCTTTCCATCTGATTTAGAAAGACGACGCAAAATATTCATCACTATGTCTCTTTGTTAATGGTTTTCCGGAATTTGGATAGTCGGAATTTGGCGATTTGAATTTCAGCAATGTCAAAATTCCACTGGAACCTTGCCAATATTGTCGAAATTCTTACAGGTTTTCGCCAATAATAATTATTAATGTAAATTTTATTGTCCATTTTCCATCGAAATTTCAACGATATTCACAATAGATCGAACTATACTTAATCACTTAGACCTTTATAAACATGGTATCAAAGCCATGATTTATTATTATTATTAGAGTACACTCTTCATATGCACGCATTTTGTACTTTCTTTTCTCTTTTTCTTCAACAGCATGCTCATTCTTTGAAGTTTCTAGAGAACACTTTATCATAAATATTTTGAAATTTTTAATACATATAGATCTTGATGTGTATAGCAAAAATTGTTATAGACTCAAGGTTTTCGGATGCTGATTTATTTGAGATACCGACCTCACAACTGATTAAAACTGCCCTAATTTTCGCCCTACTTCCACCAAGATATTATGTTCTACCCAGCTGAGAGTTCTCTTTTTAAGGCCAAGCTCTTGTTTGTGGTCGACAGTTTTTGGTTATTATTTATCTTTGATTATTCAAAAAAGGCAAAATGTGGTGGATGAGTGTGGGTAAGGATGATCGTGTTTGGTACTGTATCTACTGTCGTTTTCAACATCTGTATACTTCAAAATTTCTACTTATTGTTGTCGATATTTTTTTGCAACTTTTCCTTTCGACATTAGTTGAGTAAATTCCTCCAAAAAATGTGATCAATACATCGATACTACTTAAGACTATAAAATGAAGAAAAAAAAAATAAAAAATTTTTGGATACGCAGTAGATACTCGTAAAGATTGTGATTCTGCATGTAGATCGCATCAAACTCTGCGATGCACACTTCACACTCTTCGCATTCATCTATATACTCTCGAATTAATTTCAAATGTAACTAAACTGCCGTTCTGTTGTATATATAAACTATAAATGGTACTTATATTGTCAAAAATCCGTAAGAATATCGACAATTACAGAAATTCGACAATATTAGCCAAGTTCTGGTGAAATTTCGAAATTTTTCGAAATTCTACCGGCATCTTGACATTGCCGAAATTCAGATGGCTTAATCCCGACTGTCCAGATTCCGTCTTACCTTGCTAATTGTTCGATAAACATACTTCGACGAGAATATTTTTTTATCAGTTGATGAGAAATGTTTTCATCTTTTGAGGAGTGTATGACTTATGTTTGTCATGTGTTTTCATGATTGAGATGTCAATAGAAAAAAAAGAAGTATTTATGCAATTCATTTGTAATTTTTATATGAACTGGTCAAAATATTTTGCTACCTTTATTTGCAGACCCATGAATACCCACGTCCACATTGGTAATTTTTAAGATATTCTTCAGAAAGCGAAACATTATTTTACGGTTATTTTTATGGTATTGTTTTGTTACATATAGATGTCCCACTTTCTCATGTTGAAAATTTGGGTCCAGTCTCTTGTAAACCTGATAAATCGTGATTATTAAATTCAACGTCAAAAGGAACTGAAGATCATCGGAGAAGAAAGTAAAGATTACTAAACACATGTAGATGAATGGTTGTGGACGTCAGTATGAATATAGGGTATGACAACTCATTTTCACCTCCAGTTGAGGTTGTCAAACAACCAAATCTTTTAGTGCTGAATGCTAAGGTTATTTTAGTTGCAGTTGTCGCAGCTCTACAAAGGTGTCTATTGAATGGATGAGAAGATTTGGTTCTTTCACTACAGAAGTTGTAGTCCCAAAAAGTTAGTATTGAGTGCTTTAATTATTTTTTAAACAAGTGTAAAAAGTACTTATAAGTGAGCGTTTTTAAATAAGATGAAGATAATTGAAACTTCGAGTATAAATTTTTTGCTCTTTTTTTACATTATTTGATAGAGCATGGACTGCTGATCACGAAAAACATATTTTTTGTGATCAGCAGTCCATGCTCTATCAAATAATGTAAAAAACAAAAAAAAAATATTACTTCAAAGTACTTAGAAGTGTGTATTAAACTGCTTTTTCACTTTGACTACGGTAGCAATTATACTAAGTATTGATGTTCAGATATAAATGCATGAATTTTTAGTTCTATAATTAGACAATATAAGCAATAGATTATTGATTCAGTTGAGAGATTTTATTTTCTGCATTTAAACATTCTAACAATTTCTGACGAGACGTAGATACAATCGTGCTTATTGCTATTTACGAAGAAAGCAGAAATCGTGCATTCCTTACAATTTTCAGTGTCCCTTTTATACTATCGCACAACAAGAGAAATAAACGAACGTCCCAATAGAAAGGGTATATTCAAGGTCAGAGAAAATGATAGTAGAAAGGATATAGGAACAAAGATAGAAAGATCAGGATAATCTGATGACGAGAAAGATATGAACGATAAATTATTGGTGAAGATAACACTAACTATAGCATGCATAAAAGTACAAATGTGGGGTAACATGCATATTCAACAGAAAATGGATAGTGCTGTGTTACGGACTCAACTGGGAATGTTACAATGATAGATTCTTCTTTTTTATTTTTAAAGGAAAAAATAAAACTTAATTAAATCAATTATCAATTTAGAGTATCAATCTATTGTTTATTTTTTTTAATACGTGTTCTTGTTGGTGTCGAACCAAACGTAAAGGGCGAGGCGGTTGATGTTATTGGCATTTGAAACGGAAAGCCGCTTGCTGATACTGTTGTAGTACCAAATAAACTAGTCGTTGATGTAGTTGTCATGCCGAATGGGAATCCCGCTGTCGATGCTAATACAGTTGTTGTAGGTGTACCGAAGTTGGTGCCAAATGACATGTTAGCTGAAGCTGTTGGTCTTTCATCTGTGTAATACAAAAACAAAACGTTTCAATGTTGATGTGAACATAAATCTTTTGTTTATAGCTCAGGATTACTCACACCCTCCCGTATGATGGTCTAGATTTCGATATCGCATCGTTTTTAACAGCTGCGTCACATTTATACATGGAGTTTATTATACATCGCAGATGCGCATAACCGTGACTCAGTGATAGTAAGCGAGCCTCTACCAGAGAGTACGATTGTTAGATCGCCTTCTCAAAACGTATGATAAAATTTATGTACACTATTTCGGCAAATCCTATATAGGATTAAAACTTAATCATATGCATACAGTATTAATAACAATGCCTTCGTGATACTGTGGTTGATAATTCGTTTTACAACAACAAGTAGAACAAAAAATTCTTATCAAGAGTCGATTCACTCAAGCCTAGACTGATGTAACAGCGTAGAAATAATAGACCACTTGTGTCCGTGTGTCTCTCTAATTCAAGACACATATGACAACTATGGCTCATTTGGGTACGCATAAGGCTTGAAGGACTACAAATGTGCTCCAAATGAGCAAACGTTTGAATAACAACGCGCACAAATATAGCATAAATGATTACAAGAAGAATACATATGACGGCAATTATGGCTAGCATGGTCATATCTATAGTGGTTTTGATCTCGTATAAGGTCAGTTGAGATTGTATTTGTGGTCACCTAGGCCATGATTATGGTTCTTTCTTTCATACTTATTCTCGTTTAGATCGGGTTCATGGCCATTTTTACAAACGGATCACTCGTGCTGTCGCAATGGTCATTGATCATAGCAATAGCATGAGCGGGTAAAAGACCTTATGTAAATCTCGGAAAACGAGGGTAGCAATCTAGAATATCCTTGCAAAAAAGTGTTTGACCAAGTGTTTCCCACTTTCGATCGTCGAGATAAAGTGTTTTCTGCATCTTGTCCGTTGAAAAAGCTTTTTGGATGAACTATCGCCTAGATGACATGTTCTTGAGAAATCGTCTCTTATGTGAGAAATGTACTTTGTTTTTAGTCGTTGTCGAAAGTCAATATAATATCACTTGAACGCAGATTACGCTATTGTCTATATATATTATTAGATATCATATTCGTATATAACAGATTTATCTGTGTACGAAATGAATTAATTTCAAAGAAAGTGTTGAATTAGGATTAGTTGTATTCGCGCTATATTTTATTTTTAATCAAGTAAAAATCATAGTTTTAAATGGCATCCGAAGATATATGATAAAGGATCAGTCATCACATATCGTAGTCAGCTTCAACTTCGAATGATTCATCTTCAGGATCAGATGACTCAACGAAACCTACAATTACAGAAAAAAATCAATTGAACGAAAATATATGTTGTTTGTTCACGGTTATAGATTTCAGTATAAAAATGTTAGCAAAGATCAATCTATGAAATTTCGATGTTGTGCAAAAACATATTGTCGTGTACTCTTACGTATGATCCTTCAGAATGGATTTCTACATTGTCCAGGAAAAATGACTGATCATTACCATTTACCAAATACGGTTGAAAAAGAGGCATGACAAGAAGCAGAATGAAAAAGAATTGAAAAAGAAATATTGTCAGTACAACAGACCACTAAACAAGATTTATGACACATTTTGTTGATAGCTGAAAGCTCTAGCTGTTTTCTTAGTACTACTTAGGGTATACCAAAAGTAGTGAGAGTGACACCACCTATTTGATCATACTTCAACTAATATCATGATAATAAAATTTCGATAAGATGTGTTTCGTCATCATATGTGCTGGTTATATTAATACTCATTTTAAAAAATACGAGTGAGTAGTTTTTGAAATAACTTTTGATAAAAACAAGATAGAGCACTGAGGTTTCCACCGTTGGAAAGAGGAGATGAAGATTCATCGAATTATGTATTCCAGATTTTCCTAATCTGTTTTTTTTTTTGTAAGGTTTTCAATTGATCTTTTCAAAAAACAAACTTATCTGGTAAGTCGTTTACAATGAATTGGCAATTATCAAATATAAATTCAAACCACTAATCGAAGATCTACAAAGCTTGGAAGGCTGAGGTGAACATTATGCATTCTTGTCGAACCTCTAATATGACTTTGTAGCAAAATCTGTGACAAAAGCTGACTTTTGTGCTTTTTTCCTTTTTTTCAAAAAAAAACATTTTTCCAATTGTTAGAATAGCGAATAAAAATACTTTAAAAAAATCAATATTAGAGAAATCTACAATATACGATTCGATGCGTCTTTAATTTCTCTTTTCAACGGTGAAAACCGCACTTCTCTATCTTATTTCTATCAACAGTTATTTCAAAAAAATACTCATTAACCGTGACACGTGTGAACAAAACAGATCTTATCAAAATTTCATTATTATGATATTAGTTGAAGTATGATCAAATAGTGTAGAAAGGTGGAGCTTTTTTTTCTCTATCAGACTGTATAGAAAGTAGATTTCTTTAAGTTTAATATACGGTATTAAAGTATCACCCTTACTACTTTTGGTATACCGTAAGTAATTATATCAGTATGGAGATAATTTCGTATGTCATATTAATGTACTTATCATATTTCTTCCGAATGTCAGTTTTCAGCTCATTGCTCGGTACATAATCGTCGTACAATGACGTCTCCATTTACACAGTCATCTCCTTTCTTTCATTGCAGAATCACATGTAAAAGATTTTCATCATACTCCGTGATTATCGTTACATGACACTGACGATTCAAAAGTTCAAATCAATCAATCAAAAAATCTACAATGTGAAGAAAGCATGTTGGTGCTATCAATTGACATTCACTTGAATTTATTATTTGATAGTCAACGGTATCATGTTGATGGCAGATTTTATACTTCTCCACTACACTTTGAACAAATATTTATCATTCAGGAATTTGCTCATGATACACGTGAGTTATCTTTATTTAGTGAAATGTTTAAATACTTAAATTTTTTTTCCATGATATGTTTCGTTACAATAGGTGTGTTGGTAGTATACGCAGTGCTACTTAATCATAAAGAAAAAATATTTATCGATTTATTTAACATCGTTTTTCATGAAGTGAAACGATTCAACAAAATACTAGATCCTCTTCTAATCACTATGATTTTGAGCTGGGAGTTGCTAAGTAATTACGATTTCAATGACTGTGAATTTGACGAATCATCTCCATTGTTGAGATATTTTAGTGATTATTGAAGACAGCGACTTTCGAGATGGAATGCTTTCGATATTTCTAACAAAATTAATCATTTTAGCGACGGCATGAGACAGCCATCCATCAGTTGTATTTGTTATTAACGGTTTCGCATACGTGAAGGATATAATAATGAGTTCGAAATGCTTTAAAAAGAGCATCTTCGCATACGTTTTTTATTGATTCAATTAGAAAAGAAACACCATCGATCATATAATTCTTGATAAAAGTAGTGGAATGGGATCACGTAGAAAACGATTAAAGTCCAGAATTATTGAGCAGTAAACTAAACAATTATATGAACGCTTCAACAATAATTTAATTATGCTGCAGGAATTATTGCATGAACTTTCATTTTTTTCTTGCAAATAATATTATTATGGTTCTTATAAAATAAACTTCATTATTAGTAGCTTCAGCAACTGATATTCATATTTTATTGAAGAGGTATTTTGATAATAGATGAGATTTTCTTGAAGAACTATCTGACTAAGATCTATTTCTCAGAAACATTTTGCCTGAAGGACATTTAATCTAAAAAGCATTTTTGTCAGGACATTCAAGCATGAATTCGTAATTATATTCGGAGAATTCAACAGTCTTCAGATAAAGAGTATTAAATCAGATTATCTTAAACTCTTACTACCTTTGGATCTTACAATCGTGACTTATAAGGGTCTCGGGCGATTGAATTCAAGCTTTCAACACAAACACAATGATACATCTGTTTATAAAACCGTTTTCAGAGGAAATAAATGTGGAATCCTTGTATTTAAATCCGAGAGTTATGTGTACTTCAAAAAGTGAATGAGACAGATGAGTCATCTTAGAATGTGTGGACATAAAAATTATCCTGGTAAACCTTACCTATAAACATTTCATTTCTATTGGTTACTGCTCAACCAATCAGATTTCGAGGTGAATGGAACACAGATTCGAGTTCTCCAGCCCAGAAAATCTCGAACTATCATCTCTATGATTGGAAAATAGAGCACTAATTGTGGATGAATTAGAGCGTGAATAAAAACAGAACCGAATTCCGTTTAATTATCTTTGCAATAGGTGAGTTAGCTTTCTTGTTTCCTTATGTTTTATATACTATTTTGTGCTCGTGAAATTCTCTATCGAATGGTATATAATAGTTGGGGTTTTATTTGACTGTGATAGGAAAAGTTTTTTACGAAAACAGAGAAGGGTCGATCTTCTCCTAGGGAAACATAGGGAAAAATGACTATTTTTGCAATAACTCATCAGTGGCTCGGCCAATCATTCTCATCTTCGAATTCGACCGAGATATTGTTGAGACTAAGCTATATAGAAAATTTCATTGCAATCGTACTCTTCTTTCAAAAGTTATTGTGTAAACGGCCGGCCGGACACACTGACCGATTTAAGAGTGTACTCACTTTTTGAGTACACAAACAAATAGTAGCTACATATAAAAACTAATAATTTATAAGAGATATTCTAGAAAACGAAGTACTTCCCATATATTAAGTTTAGCTTCATGATATTTTTTCTTATATCTAGATGTATTATCTGCCTAAAGTAGAATTTTAGACTCAGTCATTTGGTAACTTGCTAAGTTACGATCATCAAACTCAAGGCCAAGATGAATTCACGATCATATGTTTTTATAATCTTAACGCGTTGGCATTTGATATCTCAAGAAAAGTAAACGAAGATTGCTGAAAGTGTGTAGATGGATACGGGTATTAGCTTTGGTTGGTACATCCCACCATATCCTGTTACAGTTTTGAAGTGGGAGCAGACTCATTTGCAGAAGTCAGGATATAAACAAGAAAGAATCTACTGAATTTCTTTCTCGGGGTTTTGTAAAACTATATAAGTGTTTAGTCCACATAGAGATAGAATTGTTTTTGTGTCCTCAAAAAGTGAGTATACTCTAGAATCGGTCAATGTGTCCGGCCGTCCGGCCGTTTACACGATAACTTTTGAAAGAAGAGTCCGATCGCAATGAAATTTTCTACATAGTTTAGTCTCAACAATATCTCGGCCGAATTCGAAGATGACAATGATTGGCCGAGCCATTGCTGAGTTATTGCAAAAATAGTCATTTTCGCCTATGCTTTCCTATGGGAAGATCGACCTATCCAAGTTTTCGTAAAAGCTTTTCCTATCATAGTCAAATAAAACCCCAACTATTATATACCATTCGATAGAGAATTTCACGAGCTACGAAATAGTATATAAAACATAAAGAAGCAAGGAGGCTAACTCACCTATTGCAAAGATAATTAAACGGAATTCGGTTCTGTTTTTATTCACGCTCTAATTCATCCACAATTAGTGCTCTATCTTCCGATCACGGAGATGATACTTCGAGGTTTTTCGGGGCAGAGAACTCGAATCTGTACTCCACTTGCCTCGCAATCACATTGGTTGTGCAGTAACCAATAGAAATCAAGTTATAGGAAAAATGACTTTCTTAGAGTAAATCAACGTGATGAGTTCAAATCTGAGCTGTAATCGCCCTCAAATCCTATTAGTTGAGCAGTAGCCAATAGAAATCAAGCGTTTATAGGGAAGGTTTGCCTGGACAATTGTTATACCGATACGCTCTAGGATGACTCATCTGTCTCATTCACTTTTTGAAGTACACATAACTCTCGGATTTAAATCCAAGGTTTCCACATTTATTTTTATAGCTTCCTGTCTATCAATTGTCTGAAGAATCTTAAAGTCTATTTAAGAATTTCTTCCCTCAAAGTTAAAACTCCAAATACCTGCGTTTGATGGTTGTTCCTTTTGATCGTTTTGGTTATTTTTATCGCGAGCTATCTTGAGTGTCGATAAAAGTGCATCTAACGTGTTTGTGGCATCGTGGTCTGTTGGTGTAAAATCATTAAATATATATTTATCATTAGTGAGTATTTCTTCATCATGGCAAAGTATACCGAAAGCCTTCTCTAATCTTTCTTTTGTTTTTTGTAAATATTCCCTTTGTTTTCGTATGGAATAGTCATCACAAAGATGTGCATCAATCAAATCAGATTCTTTAGCAGAAATTTCGCGTAAACGTTGTTTGATATTATCACATACACTAAACACACATCTTGCACGTATAGATAATGTCACGTACTCTGTAAAGCGTTTGATCAACATATTCCAATATGAATATATACTAATTAACATTTGTTTTAACGCTTGATCATCCACTGACATAGCATTGTATACAAATATATCATCATCATCATCATCACCAAGCACTGTTGCCTTGAAACCACCCCTATTTGATGAATACAGGGATTGTTCTGAAAGACCTTTATATTTTTCAACTAATGCCATGTAGTAGGTATTAATTGTATATGGATCATTTTGATCCACTTTAAGCAAAGAATGTAATTGATCAAGCACTGCTGTTTTTGATTCGTTCAGGCATAGATTGGTAATATGTCGGAATATATTAATTATTTGTGACAACAAGAAATTATTCGCACATGCATTAGTTCCCGCTTTCAACAATATGTTTCTTGTTGCAGCAAAACATTCATCAGCGAGTTGAAC